GCACTACAAATCGGTTATTTTATTAAAACTGTAAAAAACGCGAGGGCCCGCGTTATCTTCGTTATTGGCCTTTAAACAGGGAGTATGAGGAAAATGGTAGAGGCGAGCAGTGGAGGGAGAGAGGGACAGGAGAGAAGGTCGCGAAAACGATGTCAGCACGGTCAAGCGCGGACAAACGGAGGCGGCGGCGGGGGCAGTGAGAGAGTTTTAATCGGGTTCAGTTTTCTCCTCGGACCGTGCGATCGCCTCGTTCTGCGATCCGGTAGCGTGGAGCCAAGGAGGAAAAAACGTTCGCCGGCGAATCTCATGGAGATTCTTGCATCGAAGATCTCGTTGAGAGACCCGAGGGGCTACCAGAGCCTCTTTGTCCGCCGACAAGGACTGCGAAGACTTCATTGTCTACCTCGACCTCGACATTACCTTTTGTTTTATGCGCGTACCTCTTTTTCGGAATGCTACATAAACTGCGAGCATTGAATAAGTAACGTCAAGCTGTAACTTTGTGACCACGTTAGACATTAATTACTTCGTTTTAATATAACTTCATTTATTTTACATGTAAATTTATGCGGTCCAGTTTATTTTCCGTCGAACAATTTACGATTTCAAAATTGGCCGAAAACTTTCACCGCAGTATCTTTAAACAATCAACCGTCAAATCAATCACACGCGTAGCACCCATCTATCTTCGAACTGCAGCGAGCGAGGAGAAAGTTCCATAGCCGGCAGCCCCCGTTACCGGCGTGTACACACAGTCCTCCACGTACGCCTCTGGACGCGTACAAATAAAACTTACACGCCTGACTTTGATCTCCACGGGTGAAAAATAATCGGCCGTGGCGCGGCCATTGTGCGGGTCGGACTCGAAGAAAGCGAGCGCGTTTCCATCACGGCGGGGCGGATTCCTCTTTCCTCGGGGAGCGTACGAGGAACCAGCTAAGTAGGCAGGTAGCGTAGGTACACGCATCGCATCGGATTTCACGTGGCGTTTGCGGTTCCTACAGGAATGGATACCCCGGTTGGTTATGGGTTACGGTTACGAGCGTCGGAGTCACGTTTAACCGTGAACGATGGAAATTACCCCGGTCACTCGAGGGAGGCGAGAGGGAACCGCGGCGCGCGGAATTTCGCGCACGAAATTGCGGTTGCCGCGACGCGACAGGTTCTGTTTCGTGACTGGCCGATCGACCATTCTTATTGTAAATATATCTCAATCAACCGAGGCAAGACATGCACGAGAGACCTTGCGAGCTTTTACAGTTGGATATCGTTATTACAGAGCGATCGTCACGTTTGTGTTTATCAAACGTTAATCGACGAGACAATGAAAAATATTTCACTATCAAAAATTGTTATGAAAGGCCAGGTAAGAATTGGACATATTTTCCCGCACGTGACGATCACGGCGACGTGTGGGTTGTTCGAAACATGAACACGGGTTCGGTTCAGCTGCAGCTGCCGCGCGTAGGACTCGCGCGAGTACATAAACCGTACGTTTCCTCGTGAAAAAGAAGGATAGTTCGCGCAGTGAGGAGTAACGCGAGACTTCTCGTCGAAACGAGCTGAACGCGTACAGCATAGGTACACGCGTGTAACGCGCTTGTCCCTATCAGCGAGTAAGTAATTACTAGCGAGGAACTGCGACCGTCTGTCCCTGTCCACGGTCAACAGAAGATAGATAAGGAACGGTGGAGACGCGGAGGCGCGCGAGCTGATCCGATCACGCGAAATTGCCGGATAAATTGGCTCGGATGTAATCGGAAACTTAATGGCTGCGATTAAACCCTCTCCGCGAGCAAATTGCCGCTTAGACCGGCGGGTGACGAGGCTTGCTCGCTTTTATTTAGAAATTGGCATCGCTATACTTCTCCCCTCTTTTTATTTTTCAAAATCCTTATCGCGTTTCAAGTCCAAGGATTGTAAACATGCGACGATGTCCTATTAAATTCCGTTTCCGGGATGTAATGCATGTCATAGTTTTTAGATAATATTTGATAAAAATTAACATGAAATGCAATAAAAAATAAAAATTATTGTTTCACATAAATCCTGTTTTCTTTTGATGGTTCAGAATTAAATCCTATTGTATAGGATTTTCTCTATCCTTATGCACCTTTGCAGGGGACTACATGATCGGTCAGTTGAATAAAAAATAAAATAAATAATTCATTGCTAAATTTTGTCAAATAAAAGAAAAGGTTGTCTTATACTTGTATTTAAGAACGTGATTGATTGAAAAAAATATGGGACACGTATCTAAACTGTTTTAAGGATGTATTGGTCAATCCCAAAAGTTTATGCACTTTAGAAACGCATTTCTTAAAAAGAAATCAGAC